GACCGCATCGCTGAGCCGACACTGCCCCGGCGGACCAAGACCGGAAGTTCCCTCCCTCCCGAGTCTCGCGACAGCGCGCGGGGTTTGGCAATAGGGGCGCGAGCTGACCGAGCCCGGCCCAGGACACCCGCCGGGTTTAAAGGGCCTCCCGGAGCTTCCGGCCAAATCTTTAAATGCCGCAATATTCTCAGAGGCCGGAAGTTGAGGGCGCGGAACGGAAGTTGGTGGGGGTGGGTCCCGGAGACCTTGAGCCCCTCCTCTGACGCTGGGTTGTAAACGCCTCCTTGAACTTGGCTGGCGGGGCGGTTGAGCAGGTCAGCGAGGGGGAAGTCGCAGGTCGCCACTCGGTCTTCTGACGTCGAGGGTTTGCTTCCCATGCCCCGCGCGAGGGTTTTCTGGCAGCGCATGGGGCGCAGTCTCCTGTTCGCACCGAGGCTGAGGTCACCGCGAAGGAAGCGCCCGGGCCAGCCTGGCCTTTCGTTTCAAAGATGGAATTGTTTGGAAAGAGGGCGAGAGCTGACCTTTTTTGGGGTTTTTTTTGTCCGTCGGTGGATGAGGCTCATACTAATTAGGACATGGCTGGAGTGCTGGAAGGCAACCAAGGAGCGATTTCGCAAAATCTTCTTCCCGGTCCCTTATCGGCCTTGGAGCTTGCTCCCGGAGGCCTTCCTTCCTCGCCCGTCTCCTGCGGCCCGTTCACACTTACTCCTCAGCTGCTTTGTAAAGAGGTTGTGATGCCTGGTTCCAGTCAACCACAGGGAACAGCCTCCGGAGCCTGACCCCGTGGCCTGTTCCCAACCTCCCCTGCCCCCCCCCCCAAAAAACACCCTAAAAAACACAACAAAACTCTAATAGCGGGTGGGAATGCGGAAGGTGAATTGATGTAATGCTTTTCATTATTCAAAAGACCATTTGCACAGCCCACCGGAGGAGTGGCTATAAGGGGGAAATACCCTCCGGGGCTCCACGATCTCATACTAAAGGAGCTCGCATGGCCTCTGTGCATTCCTTAGCTCCACATACAAATGCAATGTGACTGGAAGAATGAGATGCACCTCCAAGTACAAGGCAAAAAGAGGTTTTGCTACTTCAAAGCTCCAACTAATCACATCTCAGTTTGAATGTGCATTCCAGCCACACTATAAAATCGTTTTCCTTTAAATTAGTGGTTGAAATCCATATTAATTCTGGTCCGATGCACAACAGGACTGATCAAATTGTTTATATCTCTATTAGGAACAGTTATTTCCCAAGTCAAAACTTTGAGTTCTTTTTTTAACCACAGAAATGGTGGGAGTCATTTGAACTCAACATGATAAATCTCTCAGCTAAATTCTCAAAACAAGTCATTTCGAGAATATACTTTTATTTGTAAAAGGTGCAAAAATAACCTTATGGAACAATGTAAAGAATCTAGTTGGAAATTATTTTCCCACAGATGTGTAAGCAATTTAAGTAACATAAATGAGTGTATGTTTTACTCCTATGTTACACCAATGAGGAAACAGTAACTTGTTAAGGATATATTGGTGGATTCTTTATTGATTCAAAACATTTTTAAAGTCAGTGTAATGCATGTGCATTTTACAGTAATATCCATAGGTTCACACAATATGGTCAAATGAAAACAGCTGTAATTTGATTTACTTTGAAAACTCAAATATACATAGTTTGAGACTTCTAAGTTTTCTTACATTATTGTCATGCTCAAATTCTATTACATTTGAAAATGCTAGCATTTTCAGTGTCTATTGTACATAGGTAAAATCATAAAATAGACTCAAGAAAGAGGAAACAAAACCCAAAACTTAAATGGGAGGAAATATAATCTGGATTATCTATTCAGTTTTTAGGTACCTACAGTTATTCTGGCTTTACAAAATAACCAAGCACGGTATCTCCTAGATTGTATTCATGCATTCACAATTTCTTTATGGCCAACTAATATTGGTGGGCTCCAAAATAAGGATATAGATTACTAAGTACAATGAACATGGTAGTAAAAAAAATGACATATGTTCAATATGATAAATTTTACAGAACCAATCACATTTAAATTATTTTTTATATTTAGCAAATATACTAAAATCATATACAAGAAATTGTGTTTATGACAAATAGGTTAAAGCAAGGGAAAAAATCAAGTCTTCTACATTATTTTAATATTCAGTGTTTATTGGTCATTGGAGGGCAGTATAGAAAAACTCAGCAAAATAATTATCAGTTTAAAGTACCTACAATGACAAGAGTAAGACTCTTTACTACCAAAGAGATGTAGAGGATTAAGGTAATTATACTATTTTTAAGGAAAAAATTCACTTTCCCCTCCATTAAATAAGTATTCAAGCTAACACTGTTTAGGAATTTTTCCATTTCACGTTTCAGTTCATTGTATTTTCTTCATAGTACTTGTTAGCAGTCATTTAATGGAACCTAGCAGCACTGCTGAGGAATCTACTCATAACTTTTTTTAGCACAATATAAATGTCCAATAAACTTACATGCAATAATACCTCTTAAAAATCTATTACTTTACAGTAGAGAAACCTGACAAACCCTACCTCAGCCAGATGACCAAAGGCAACATCACCAGTGATAAGTCATGATGGTGGTATGCACCTTTGACACCAGGTGGTAGAAATGACACTTTACTTCTGGGGTCTTCCTTCCCCAGATGGTAACACCTGTCTAATCATGGGGGAGACATCAGACAAATTCCAACTGAGGAACATTCTGCAAAATGCTAGACCAGTGCTCCTCAAACCTGTCAAAATCATCAAAAGCAAGAAAAGTTTGAGAAACTGTCACAGCTAAGAGGAGCCTAAGGACACACGATGACTAAATGTAATGTGGTATCTTGAATGGGATCCTGGAACAGAAGAAGGTAAAAACTAAGGGTATCTGAAGTGTAGACTTAATGCACGGATGTTGGTTCTTTATGTGACAGATATCTCATGGGTGTGCTGTACATGGAACCTCTCTGTACTATCTTTGCAATTTTTCTGTAAACTTGAAATTACTCAAAAAATGTTAATGCTAAATTTTATGAGGATACAAATACATTTATTCTTTTATTTTCCTAGTAAAGTTAATTTTAAAATCATACTACTCTAATATTAAAAAAAATGCTTTCTATTCCATGTTGATATCAATGTTTTCTAATGGCCAATCTCATAACAATTTTACTTCTATCCCCCCCACCCACATATATATTTGGCAAATTATTTGGTATTTGTATTCTCCCCATTCTTGTAAATGATTTTTCTTTTTTTTAATGATTTCTTTTTTAAACTATGATTTAAACCTATGTTATACACACACATTTAACCATATATATCTCCATGGGTGTGATTTTTTTTTCTTAATTGTAGATTCAGAATGATGTTAGTGAACTGAAAACAGTGATTTTGAATCACATTATTGAACAAAGCATGACATTCATATATTCCTCCATCTGAAAATAATCTTGGTTGTATTTTTTGGATGAGTAACTAAATAATACTTTTAAAGTATAGTTTGAAAAAAATATGGGAGAAGTGCATTAAAATAGCACTTAGTGTATACATTCTTGAAAAATGGGAATTTTTATTGAGCTGGAGAACTTTGTTGAAATAACACTTTATCCATGTTTATTTCATTTCTTTCTTATGATCATCTTATAGAGAACATTCTGCATTTGAAATGAGGAAACATGCTCAGGATACATGGTTTGCCCAGTCACAGGACAGAAATGTAGCTTGAAATAAAATTTGTAATTAAAGCTTCATATTTGTAAATAAAACCCGACAACCTGTTGTGTGTTGCAAGGATAATAAAACAAGAATGTTTCAGGGAACATCTGAAACAAATTTTTGGTATCAGTTTTATTGGTAAATATTTTCAGTTGTAGCAAGTGAGGAATAGCTAAAATTTTTACAGATTTAATATTATTTTCTCAGGAGAACTCACATTGTATATTGGTCAGAAATTTATAAAGAACTGAAAAGAGCACATAAATAGAAGCCTTTGCAAAAGTACACTTTGAAAATTAACCAGTATAACTATCAGCATAAATACACAGGCCGGAAGATTTTCTGGAAATAGCTTGACCACCTTTCAAAATAATTTGCCAATGTATGCAGTGCAAAGTTTTCAAAATTCATGTTTCATAGGGTACTAGTTAAAGGCATTTTAGATCTAGGAAATTTAGGTGGCATTCACAAGGTTCTTATTTTATTTTCTGATTGTACATTTTTTCCTCGATCAATCTGATATACTGTATTTTTTGCAAATGTAATTTGTCACAATTACAATGACTTATTTTTTTTTCAGCATAAGTTAAAAGTGTATGGGGAAAATAAATAAATTAAAAATTAAGAATCAGATATTATTTTAAATCAGATTAAAATGGTGAAAATGTATTTTTGCCCCTAATAAATAAACATTATCTACCTATTTCTATAGTCCTTTTGCAAAACTGAATTATAGGTAAAAATAGGATATACATTTCATTCTGTAAATAAGAATCTAGGCAACATTAAAGGATACTTACTATTAAACACCCCATGCACCATGACCAAATATCAGAACTGGTCAACCTATGTACAGATTTTAAGATTAAAAAAAGAGACCACATTATGGTCTTGATTTTTGCACTGAATAACATTGACATCAAAATTGTGTTTTGCTATAGTTGTTCATATGCCAGTGCACCTACTGCGCTTACAGCTGCCTTGTAACACTGTTGGGGTATCTATATTACCTTTGGGTAACATAACAATTATCTATAGTAAGGAAGAAGTGTCACCCATCCATTACTAGTGTGATCTATATGCAAGATCCACCTCTGGCTCTCCAGTTTATTTCTATATATTTATATATAATCTATATCCTCTACTTTTCTTTCCGTCATAGGCACTATAGAAAAAGCATTAAC